TTGTACTCCCATCCGTTGATTCAGTCGTGTAAGGTAAAATGATAAGGAAATAATCTATGACTGATTTCATAGGAAGTCATCGTCTTTTTGAGGAGTAAGAGAGGATCTTGGAAACATAATGGAGCTCATTTTAAACGAGATAATATGAAGTTTATTTTATTAATTCTCATATTATATTAACAATGTATCAATACATATGTTTCACTCTCACATCGCTTCTTTCTCATCTGAGTTTGAATATAAACTTACGAAGAGGTTTGCAAAAGGGAAATTAAGTAGGTATTTCCATTCAACATTACTGTAGTTTTAAGTTTTGTAGTATTCGATTGGGTATTTCTGCAATTTTGAGAAATGTGTAACAAAACGTTTGTCGTATCTCATACACTCCTGTACTATATTATTGCTAACTATTATAAAACGCGACCAATATTAATAAGGTTACACTGATGTAAAAGCAAGATCTTGCAGTATTGATTGAAGAACGAGTCATAGTCATTTGAATAGACGTGAAGTGGATACCTGGTCATTTAAATACGAACTCTTCGTACAAACAAATTGGTCACATCCTGGGTTAAGGGAAATTTATTAGGAATAAAATATGCAAATACGTTATAGGACATATTATATACACCCATTTGCCGTGTATGTATCTCAAAATGTATTGATAACTTCACATAAAATTGATGTGTGCAACACACAAAAATAAATGTATATTCGAGTAGCCTAAATAAAAACCGCAATAATGTGTGTAAGTTATTTACTTGAAAACGTGATTTTAGCAGATACTGATCCTATCTTTGAAGTGTAGACCACATAATTAGCGACAAAAGTGATGGTAAAATGTTGTTTTGATCAGACCATTGCATATTTTGGTACTTAAAGTAACAAAGTTGGGTTTTCTGGTGATCAAACATCTCGGAATACCCGTGGTACATTCTACCTGTACAAATTACGGAAATGAAAACCACAGTAATTAGAGTTCTTGACGCATAATATAATAATACACTCGTATTGATTTGGAATATTTTCATTCATAATAAGTTCTGATCATTCTGATTCTAAGAATTACTGATACTGTGATGTGTATTTTCAATAACATTATATAGCAAACTGCTATAATATTTTTCTATAAAAATAACATATGATCCTAATATTGCCTCTAAAATAAATAGTATACTAGAGTTGAGGTAAGGATAACTTGGTATGACGACTTTTAGCCGTATTTTTGTGATCTGTGAATTCAGTAATTTACAATTCGATACTCTGCGACAATAAATGTGATGTACCTCATACTTTCAGTCGAAATTTTTGGTAGAGGTTAACTCGGCTCTTCTTCTGGAAGTGAATGTCGTGACCTGTACTGCTAACATCTATTTCAGCCAAAAAAATCAATTGAAAGAATGAAATGTTTGAATTTTCACTATGTGAAAACTATTTACCATGTCACTGTTCTTCATTCCACATACTACTTTGCATTGAACGTGACCCTGATATAGACTTCTCTCAGTTTCCCTTTATGACGGTGTTGTCACAATTGTAATAGAACCATTTAAAACTGAGTAAACATTTGTAAAATGCCACATCGTACTGCAAACGCATGCCTGCAGCACCGTTTTCACGGTGAAAGGCAGGTGGCTTGTCACTTTTGCTCTGTTGGGCTGGGCTTGAAATATTCGAACACAAGAACGTTATCCAGAGTGGCAATGCGCAGTCGGAGATAAAAACGAACAAACAAAATGACATCGTGTACTGCGCACCAAAATTGTATTATTATCAAAGTGGCATGTTTATTTTAATGTTGAGGATGCACAGAGAAAAAGTACCTATAACTCTCAACGCTAGCTTAGTTGCAGTGATTCCTGATGAAGTGAATTGTGTGTGCAGTTATGTAATGTACGTCCATGTTGCTACAGAAAACTAAACACGTGTTTTGGATCGTTTTATCTGCCTGAATGGAGGGAATATGGTAGCTGTGAACAAATATTTGTAAAAAAAACTCATGATGAGGGTAGAAACTGTTTCTGCACGGGCGAAGTTAAAGACCACTTCTCGGCAAGTAAGGTTACATCTGTAGGCGCAATGTGAAAGTAGTAAAGTCAAACTTTGTTGATTTTCAGGACACGACTTCAAAATCATCTCATTACTGACGTCAGTAATTACATCAGTCAGTCAGTATTGTAATAGTGAGAAGTTATTTACTTTGGGGTACATTTTACCAATTATAATGGATTCATTATAAAATCCCGATTTTACAAATCTGTGTCAACTTGCAAAGTCGCGCCCTGACAAAATGGGAAATTTGACTTCACCGC